TAAGTACATGAGTTCCATTCCTTACAAACACATTAGCATTTTAGGGAAAGGCAATGTATGGAGCCATTCCTGACACTGTGGTATACATTCATACCACTGCATTGTGAACATTCCAAAAAGATCAGAGACCATACCCTGCATAATGCAGCAGCTGGTACATGTTGAAGGGTGAAATTCCAATTGGAGCATGCTATACAATTTCTAAGTAAATATTTATGCTCAGGAAGGTTAAGAGACTTGGAATGCTATAAGAGCCAGTCTTTTGGGTAGGAAAGCTGCAGTCTCTTCACACTGACCCATCAATGACCTCCATCCCAAGTCTGGAGGCAGTTGTGATCCGCTAGAGGCACAAAATCCCCAGAGTGAATCATGGGCTTCCACAGAGTACTAAAACAGCACATAAAACAAAGGAGGTTATTAAAGCCCCATCACATACCACAGAGTCTCGCTTGATGTTTAGTTACTTAGAACTCTCTTCCTTCTGTCATGTTGTCCATGTACCCCAACTCACCATGTGCAGTAAAGATGGCAGAATGAGTGCATGGGGGATGGGTATGCTACTTATTTTTGCCTCTTCCTTCCTTGCTCCAAAATTACTTTATTTATTTAGTACACTATTTATATTCTGCCTTTCCTGGCAGCTCAAGGCAGCTTACAAACCGCAATTTAAAACATACAGAATAAAACAGAACCCAAATAACCCTCCTCCTCGCAAAAAAGATACCTGCAGTCTATACTCCATTCAAAGCCCTGGCAGATAAAATGGCTTCCTTAAAATGTCTAGCGATGGAACCCCACTCAACTCCCCAGGGAGCCCGTTCCAGAAAGTGGGGGAAAGCATTCACTCACTCACACCTAGCTGGGACGGTCACACCCAGACATCAAAGCTGCACAAAGGCAATCATGTGGAACAAAGAGTTGCTGCATCGCTTCAAGCAGCCACAACAAAGTGGTCAACAGTACAAAATGCAGGCATGCTGGTTGGTGCCAGTCCAGATGGGTTACCTTAAATGGGGGAGCAGCCAGAGAAGCATAGGTGCTCCATGGGTATATATGGGAAGAGACAGACCTTTAGATGACTTTGCTCTGTCTTTCACTTGGGTTCACAAGAGAAAGAGGCTACCTGACAGGGGGATTTGATGGCTAATTTACTGAAAGGGGTTACAGCAATATAGACCAGAGGAGCTGTTCTGGGTAGTCAGAGGCTGTTGGGATCTGGCCTGCAGGAGGCCGTGGTTTGCTTGGTGGCCTGCGGTGATAATTTTGCTCAGCACTTTAATAGATTGTTAATGTACTCTGGAGTATCTAAAATAAATATACTGTATATCTTTTTACAGTCCTTTTATGAAACTAGAATTGTTGATGAATATCTAAAAATTTAAATAGATGATCATTTTCAACAAAAGTTAACTTGTGTTTAAGCTTAAAGGTATTTAACATCTAATAGGTGAAGGACAGAGAGCCCTGTTGCCTCTGGAATTCTCAATAACAGCCTGTGCCAGCCACCTGAAAGACATCTGAAGCCGGTTATGACAATTAATAACAACAATACTAGCACTTTTATGTTTTTTTGTTATTATTAATTGGTTTTAGCAGTGTTTAAATGTTTTAATTCTCTTACTGTAATTTATATTCTGATCTTGTGTAAGCCGCCCTGAGCTGGCCTCAGCTGGGATAGAAACCTGAAATATATATCTATATATCTAATTCCCAACATGCCCCCAGCGTGCAGATATCTAAATCTGCACTTCGGGGGCACTTGGGGGCAGGGAGATTTTCCTGCACATTTGAGGCAATCCCCAGATGTGCAGAAAAATCTAAAAAGTTGAAAAAAGTATACGGGGATATTTAAATCCCCCCCAAAGTAACAGAGCCTTCCCTGCGCATGCACAGAGAAAGCACTTACCAATAGGAACTGTGGCTGCTGGCAGTGGCAGCAGCGCAGGAAGAGAAGCCTTGGCAGCTGGCAGCCATGGCCACTGCTGGGGGGGGGAGCATTGCCGTCATTGCTGTTGGTGACGGCGTCGGCAGCAGCAGTGGTGGGGGAGGGAGAAGAGCTGCACAGGGCTCGCCGCCTTTGCTGCACGCGGCCGTGGTGGCTCGGGGGAGGAACCTTGGAGGGCTGGTGGCTAGCTGCAGCCGTTGCTGCTGTCATCGGGTGGGGGGGAAATCCTGGTGAGCCCAACGGACCGCCTGCTGGGCTCACCTGCAGCCGCTGCCGCATTCTCCTATGTGCGGAGCTCCTGCTGCTTCAACAAGCAAGCCACCCGGGAGCCGCGGGGAATATCTCCCCCTCCACGAGTATTGCGGGTCCCGCCTCTTGTATGAATTTAATCCTTACATGATTAGCACAACTAGTTTATATAGTTCAGACAACCCTTTTTCCCCATATGCAGGTAATGCTGACCATTGCATGGATATATATGGCATGGGAACCATCCAATCACAGATACAGCCAGTGCCATTTCTGATGACTGCAGCTGCTGGGACAGGTGACTATGGGAGTTGCTGTTGGCCATACCTGCAATTTCCCCATGAACACATTATTTTTGTTTAGGAGACAGCTCCTACTGGCACCTTGGAAATTATGCCCACATACCTATCACAGAGGATAGGTCTATCAGTGGCTACTAGCCATGATCACTAAAGGGAACCTCCACATTCAAAGGTAGTAAACCTCTAAATACCAGTGCCAGGAGGCAACATCAGAGGAAAGCCTTGGCTTCTTTGCCCTTTTGTTGGACCTCCAGAGGAACTGGTTGGTCATGGTGTAAGACAGGATACTGAACTACATGGACTACTGGTTTGATCTAGTAGGACTCTTCTTATGTTCTTATGCCATTATATCCTTAAATAGTTTAAAGCAAATCAGATATAAGGAAATTCCAGCCAAATTTCTTGTGAGAAAAATAAAATTAACCAGTTTAGGCAATGTTTAAGAGGCCTGTGAAGGATAATTCTCTCTTCCCTGCTCTGGGGTTTAGGTAGTGCAGATCTGGTTAACCTCCAATCTGAGACACACTGATTGTGTCCAGTCTGCATGTTCATGTACTGGGTAGTGTGGAAAAAAGCACACAGTGTCTCAATCTAATTGCTGCATCAAGGAAAAATAAAGTCTCCAATCTATACAAATTATGCAAATAAAATTCCACATATTGGTCTCGTTTAGATAGTTTATCCTGCTTTTGTTAGTCACGCAAAACACAAAGCACTCTGCACCACATTGAAACCTGACTTCCCAACCACTGAAAAATTTTGCCCAACCTCATCTCTGCCCTTTGCTACTCCAGCAGCCTGAATGGCTAGAAACTTACTTTTAAAAGAATAAAAACTGAGAGGTGTTTTTTAGGATGCTGTATTAGGATGCGGTGGCTCAAGTGGTTAAGACGCTGAACTGCAGGCTGTGGAAGGTCGGTAGTTCAGCAGTTCGAGACCCAAGTGTGCTGCATGACGGAGTGAGCTCCCGTCTCTAGTTCCAGCTCCTGCCAACCTAGCAGTTCGAAAGCAAGAAATTGCAAGTAGATAAATAGGTACCACTTCAGTGGGAAGGTAACAGCGTTCCATGCGCCTTGGTGTTTAGTCATGCCGGCCACATGACCACGGAAACGTCTTCGGACAGCGCTGGCTCTTCGGCTTGGAAATGGAGTTGAACACCGCAACCCTAGAGTCGGATTCAACTGGCTTTCGAGCAAGGGAACCTTTACCTTTATTTCTCACCCAATACCAAGTTCTCCACTAGTACAGAATTATATAATACAAG